ATCCTGTCACGACTTCCCTCAGTGACAGACTGCTACCTGAAATTGTTAAGTTGAAAATAATCCTTTCTTCCCAAGTTGCTTTCATTCAGAATGCCTTATCACATCAACAGGAATGAAACTAGAACACCCCAGTGAACTATGGGAGGGGGAAAGAACTGCAATGGGCCACTAGACCAGGAGAAGAGGAGAGAGGGCAAACCTAGAACATCTCTGCAATACATAGCTTTTTAGGGTTTTTATTTTTTTTAAAGGGGAAAAAAATGTATGAATTACAGAGTGAGACCTGATCTTAGAAAATCAAAAGGGAAGGGGGAAGCATGTTTAGCAATTTATCAATTAACCCTGTGACTCCCATTTTAAAACTATTCACACATAACACCAGAAGGGATGATCTTTGCATGCTCCGGAGAAAGATGTCCTGAGAATTTTCAGATCCATAAATAATGGGCTTGGTTAAAAATAGGTCATTCGAATCAACCTAATTGTGTTCTATTTTTGATGTAAATTCTTCCATTGATTTTTAAAATGTGTAGCCCATTAAAACACATTAATTGTGACCCTTGAATGTATTTGTGTTACAAAAAAAAAACTAAGGTGAAGAAGAAAAAAAAATTTCCCACCACATGAAGGTAGAGCAGAAATATCACCGAAGCCTTAGCCCTATTTTCTTAGGGGAAAAACACTTCTGGGAAGACTGGAAAGGTGAGGTACCATGATGATAAAATATGGCTTGGTTGCATGTCGACAGATTTAGAATATCTGGAGCCTCGTGTGTCTCGCTGGGATAAAAATATTCTAATTTTGTATAACCAAGGGGAAAACATGTGGTTGTTTGTCTGTGTTCTTTATTCCATGAATAACACAGTCTCACATTTGCATAACAGGCACCCATTCTGGAAATTGTGGCCAGAGAAAACTAATATTAAAAATATTCCATTACTCCATCATTGGTCTGAATATATCCTGGGAACATTTTCCTAAATGCACACTCAAGTTGTGAAAGCATACACATTTTTCAAAGATCTATTATAGTTAATTGTGTGTAGGTAAGTATGTACACATGAGTGTGGGTTCGTGTTTGTTGGGAACAGAGAGTCCTCTGGAACTGGAGTTACTGGTGTCTGTGAGCACCCTGACAAAGGTTCCGGGAACTAAACTCGGGTCCTCTGCAAGAGCTGCACACGGTCTTAACTGCTGAGCCCTCTCTCCAGCCCCATACAGACATCTGGAAAGCATGAGCATATAATGTATATGTTTAGAACTTTCATTTAAGATTTAAATGCCCTAGTCATTTTAGATGCCATTAAAGCTTAATGGAACATAGATGATAGCTACTCGATTGCCCAGTGCCCTCAGAATACTGAACATGTGCTTAGTGCTTTGTAAATATCCTCAGGCTAAATTCCTGCCAACATTTTTAATTGCTTAGATTTCAAAATGTAGATTCATGACATCAAAGCATAAGCATGCTTTGAAAGCCCTTCTTACCTCATGCCGCACTGACCTTTGGGAAGCCTGCATAAACTAATGGTCTCCTAAAGGTCAGAAATTACTTCCTCACACTCACTCTTACATTTGTTTCTATTGTTTAACTATGCTAATTTCATAGGCTTTACATTGGTCCTTTTTAACTTTCTAAAGTTAGCATGCAAAGCAATGGGCTTCATTGTGATATCTTCACACACACACATCATTATACCCTATCCTTACTCATTCACAATTTAGTTTTGAAACAGAATGCTGACAATTGCATTTTATCTCTTGTTGACCATTTCTGACCTTTGCCCTTTTCGGCTCAAGGCCCTCCTACTCCTTTCTAAATACTCTTTACTATTAACCCTTTGTAAGATTTAATCTAAATGTTTTTTTTTTTTTTTTTTCATGTTGTTCTTGGACAACTAGATTTGTCTTAAGTCAGACACTTTTGTCCTTAAAGCGAGGGATGGCTCAGTGGTTAAGAGAACTTGATGCTCTATTGGGAGGACCAGAGTTTGGATTCAGCACCCATGCCAAGCTGCTTAAAAATGCCTGTAACTCCAGCTCCAGTAGATCCTATGCGACTTCTGACCTCAGTGACCACACACGCAAACATACACACACTAAACCTTTTCTAAAACCACAATACACATGGGTGTACATGCACACACACACACACACACACTTAAATACACACACACTAACCTTCATTTCTGTCTTTATAGTTTTCCCTTATACTCTCTGCCTTTAGTGTGTTTCTTACAATGGCTTTTCTGATCTCTTTATCCACTGAAGTGACTGTGAATGACATAGTTCTTTCAGAGAATATGGTCTCTAAGTAAAACAAGTAGTTGATAAGTCAGCAAAATACCATAAATATATGAAAGAGCAAAAATATAACTAATATTGTGACAGCAAGTACTTGTATATATAAATAATATAAATGCTAAGTTTGCATACTGTAAAAACACATAGTGAAAGAGAAGCCAGGATGTAAGTTCAGTGGTAGAACACTTGACTAACATGAGTGAGGTCCTGGGTTCAATCCCCAGCATTGCCTCCTGCCCTAACTCAACCCCACAATACAAGAAAATCTGGAAACATTCAAAATGAAGTATCCAAGGTAGTGATGAACACTAGGATTTACAGCTACTATAAGCCATGGAAGATCATATTTTTACAAATATGGAGCAGAAAGAGAAATTATTGCATTGAAGGAAAAATAGACTATCAGGCAAATTGTGGACTATTACAATGAAGAATAATTAAATTATTTGGTCCTTGTTTTCCAATCTTGTCAAATAATGTCCCTGTGCTAATTACAATATGGAGTGATAAAGGCACAATGCAAACATGAGTGCTATGGCCTTAGTAATTGAAAGAACTTGGCACTCTCTATCCTGTTGGAGGTGATGAGAAGCAGAGACTATCTAAGCCCAAAAGGACTCAGAGAAGTTGGTCTGTGGGTTACTGCATGGAAGTTGAATGGTGGGTGTGAACCACTAATAGTACATAAGTGTGATGGTGTAAAGAAAAATGGCCCCTTCGGGCTCATATATTTGAATGCTCAGTCACAAAGGAGTGGAACCATTGGAGAGGATTATAAGGATTAGGAGGTATGGCTGTATTGGAGTAGGGGCGGCCTTGTTGGAGGAAGTGTGTCCCTTGGGGTGGGCTTTGAAGTTTCAAAAGCCAATACCAGGCCCAGGCTATCCCTCTTCCTGCTGCCTGCAGATCAGGATGTAGAACTCGCAGCTGTTTTTCCAGCACCAAGTCTGCCTGTGTGCCACCATGCTCCCCACCATGATGATAATGGACTAAAGCTCTGAAACTGTGAGCAAGCTCCCAATTAAATGTTTCCTTTTGTAAGCATTGCCTTGACCATGGTGTCTCCTTCACAGCAATAAAACAGTGATTAGGACAATAAGTATACATCTAATATTCAATATTCAACATCCATCACTATATTTGAAGACTGCTTCAATAATTAGCCAAATATGGCTTGAAAATAGCATCAAATTTTTTAAATGATTTTTATTAATAAAATATATCTGAACCTTGAAGTGTGTGTGTGTGTATGTGTGTGTATATGTGTGTGTATGTGTGTGTATGTGTGTGTATATATATATACGTATATATTCATATATACGTATATATTCACTTATATAATATCATTTGGGACAAAATTATCTGTTCTGTTTCATTTATGTAATTTCTTTACTTGGTTTTCCTCAGGGACTTATCAGTTCCTGGAAACCCTATCTGCCTGTATATCTAAACATATGCTGATGAGCTATTTATGCATTTTTCCAATACAGTGAACTGAACGTTCCATAGGAAATCAAAATTATCTGTGTACTGAAGGTGTCTTGGATATTTTCATATTGCTGTGATAAATAACTACAAAAAAAAAAAAAAAAGCAAGTTAGGAAAGGAAAGCTTTACTTTAGCTTCTAGTTAAGAGAAATTCAACCCACAGCGACCAGGAAGGCACAGAGGCACTCAGAAGGCAGAATCCTGTATCTGGTTGACCCCTTTGCATTGAAACAGCACAGCCTTCACATTCCCCCATGAACCACGGTCATGCTGGGGTAGGGACAGTTTGGATTGGGCAGCTCCCATCAGTAAACAACTCCAAGAAAGTCAGACAACTGAGGGCCCTAAACTAAGCATCTTGGAAGGGACTTGAGAGCGTATCTCTGTGCCTGTTGCAAGTACATTGTGCGGATGTCCACAGTCCATGAGCCTAGAAGTGCTGCTTCCTTCTCCAGCTTCAACAGGACAGCATGAAAAGATTATGGCGCAGGCTGATAGGTGAGGCGGTCCCTCTAGGGACTTCCTGGTCCTCAGTAATGATTCCGTTATCACCCACATTGTGATACTCGCACTAACATAAGCGCGCAAATGTAGCTGTTATGAAGCCAGAGTAAAGCCATCCTAAGCTGGGGTTCAATCCCCCAGCCCTGCAAGAAGATAACATCCAAAAAAAACTTATCTGAACATTTTCTAAAATGTCGACCGAAATAAATGCCCTCATGAAATGTACACCAAATTATCTACCCTCTCAAGTAGCAATATTAATGTCAATCAAGAAACAGTATATGATCAGAAACTGGAGAGGAAGTTGATTAAAACCCTAGGATAAAAACCAGATTTTGTCTTATTTATAATATCGGTCAGTACCTTTAAACGTGTCTTTTGTTGGAATTTATGAACACTGGCTTTCCTGACTCTTTTCAGGATAGTTATTTGGCTCTTTCTCTCAGCCCTTCCAAGCTGGCAGCTTCTTGCGACCCAAAAGGGCTTCTAAAAGAAGGCAGGGACCGCCTTTGGGACCCAGCTGGGACACCCAGGCAATTCGTCCATGCGCCTCTAGAGGGCACGAGAGTGCACCATGGGGACGCAATGCGCATGTTCCACCCTCTCCGGCTGCCCTCCCTCCGTTTCCGCCGGAAGCACTCCCTGGAAGAGGCGGCCGGAAACTCGGGAGGGATCGGCCGCGTAGATAGGTTTGAAAGGCCCTATCAGGGCGACGGGCGGCCCGTTTGATCTGTGAGCCGGCCTGAGCCGTGCTGATTCCAGGCTGTGAGCGGCCTGCGCCATGGATCCTGGGGGTCAGTCGGATAGCCGGCTGCTGCGGCATCTCAAGGAAAGCCGTAGCCGTTTCCAGACGTACATGCAGCGGCTGATAGCAAAGGTGGGCTGGGATGGCCGAGGCGGGGAGGACACGGCGGGCGGGGCGGACGGGGATTCAGCGCCCTAGGATCTCACCAGTTCTCTTCCCCCGCAGTACAACCAGCCCTTTGAGGACGACCCGTTGGTGCAGATGGCCACGCTGACCTACGAGACGCCTCAGGGTATGGAACCTTCCTCCTCTTGGCAGTGTGCTAGAATAGAATGGTGGGGTAGGATTTGCAGTGCAGCACTTTTTCCCCTCACCGTGCAACCGTGAATTGCTGATTTTCCGAGTCATTATTCTAAAAGGAGTGCCTGGAGACATAGATGCAGCCTGAGTTTTTAAATGCCTGGTGCGGAAGCCCGAGCTAACTGCTTAAAGGCAATAAGTACAGTGTCTCTGTAAAATAAAAAGGATGTATACAACCATGGGTACACCGTATGGGTGTGTTAACAGCCATCGGAGTGCCTGCAAAGCCATTGGGACAGCACCCAGGACTGCTGGGCTCACATGAGTTGTGTAACTCGGACCCATATGTTGTGGACACTCCATCTGTCTGCCTTTCCGGGGCCATTTTATTAAATGTTGTGTACTGCCTTAAACCTCTTGAATTCTTTAACTGGGGTGTGTTTGCATTTGATGATGTTAGTTCCTTCCGTAGACTCATCATTTATTAATAAAATATGATTTCAGATCACAGTCTGCCAAGGATCTATAGGACCCACTCTGACAGATGCAGCCTTTGCACTTTGTCTCATGGAAAGAGACATAAATAATACTGCAACAGGTTGTTTTTGCTCTAGGTGGAATCTGGATGCAGTAATATAGGGGTCCTTGAGGGTGCTGTCTGTAGGCTTCTCTATGTTCTTGTGACTGTTCATGAAGGTGTGGGCAGTGTCTGAAATGTTTTGGACAACCTCTCTATCTTGAATAACACTCTCATTTCGTCGGTGAAAACCTGATACTCCGTTATACGAGAACAAGTGAAGTACCTGAAGAGTTTGAGGCCTTCTCTGTTGGTCCTTCCTCCCTGAGCACTGGCCAGCACACTGACTCCTAGGACTGCAATTGTTAATAGCTCTGCATCCTAGCAAGCTTGTAGCTTGTATTCATGACATAAGTCCCAACATCCTGTTACTTAATCTGAGAGAGACTTTGACGTGGCCTTCCCTAAGGTGCTCCTGACCCTCCCTGTGCAATAGCATGAACTCCCAGTCAAAGACAGTGATTGCGGCAGCCACAACAGGGGTGGAATCATTTGCTTGTGTCGACTGTGCACCTGTGAGATTTGTAGAGTTCAGTTTCAATGCTGCAGTGGAAGCCCTTCTTAAAAACCATTGCAGTAAAAGGTAGATTCCCACAGAGAGGGCCACTCAGCCAGGGTAGCAACGCCTCCATTTGATTCTTGAAGCCCATAAACTCAAGCATCGCTATCTACTAGAAACACTGTTGTACACACCTCCCAGGATTCACATGCTGGCTCTGCTACATGAGCCGAGAGTCTGGGAGTCATCTGAACTTCCTTTCCCTGTCTACTGCTGGCTGTCTACAGCAAAGATGCTAAGTCTCTGTTCCATGGGCTTCTAGGTGGTAGGAGTTACATGCAGATGGGTTGTGGAATTTTTTTCCCGCTTCTGTTATAATACAGTCATCTCAAACCTCAAAACCCACCATTCTTCCTTAGTAACTTTATTTTCCCAGGAGATTTAGAAGGAGTATATTGCACAGGCTCTGCTAGCTAGTGGGTGACAGGGCTGATGCATTTGAACTCCAGAGTTCTCTGTATTATGCCACGGGATTGCCCTAGGAAAGCCTAGGATGGTGTGCAAAAAATTGCCCTATAAAAATGCTTGCTCTAAGCCAGGCAGTGGTGACACATGCCTTAAATCCCAGCACTGGGGAGGCAGACGCAGCTGGGTATTTGTGAGTTCAAGGCCAGCCGTGTCTACAGAGTGAGTTCCAGGACAGCTAAGACTAGACAGAGAAACCCTGTCTGGGAGGTGGGGTGAAGGGGGATGCTTGCTTTGTAAATGTGCCCCCTCTCCATTCAGTATGCATGTAGCGTGTGTTTAGGATGTGAGCTGTCCTCAGCCCTTCAGATTAGTGGTGAAATCAGGTAAGCTGTTGCCTTCTGGGTTGGAGAGGTTGTCATTAGTTGTCCAACACTGTCAAAACCTGGATTGCTTTTAATGTATGGCCTTTTGTGCCATTCAGCTTGGTGCATTTTGGGCAGAAACTGAGCATTTCTGATTACTTCAGTTGTCATCTTCATTTTTTTTTAAGGATTGAGAATTTGGGGAGGAAAGCTGATAAAGGAAAGAAACAAGGAACAAACTCAGGTAATTACCGTCAGGTTTACCTTCTTAATGCTTTGCTGTAGTGATGACATGACTACATCCCTGTGTGAGTGAGCCTGAGGCCACGGCTGAGAACTGTGGAACACCACCTCAGGATGTTTGCCCTTCTCTGCCTTTTCTCCTGCATTTGGAGATTGACAGAGAGATATTTCTTCCGTTGTCTGCCTGTTGTGTGCTAAGTTTTCTCCATCATAGTCCACAGGGCCCTCTCGGCCATCTCATGTGTGCAGATAGTGGTCCGGCTTGGGGACCTGCAGGCTGTGTACTAGGCCAGCTGGGGGCTCCTTTCTTGGGTTCTTACAAAAAAAGACCAAATCTCATTTCCTTTGGTAAAAAACAGTGGTCCTTTCATCCTCTGAAAACCAGGGTGCAGGATGAGGAGGCGGTAGAGTGCAGAATCACACACCCTTCTGCCTTTCTGTCCTCTAGAAGGAGGGGTTCCCGGTACCAGGGCTTTACAGCTAGTGATCAGATCCTGGTTTCCTAGATGGCATCGATAGTTTGCCTTCCTGCTGTGAGAATGTGAGGCTTTTTGCCCTGGCAATAACTATAAGGCTGTTTGGTCTAATTGGATCTCGGACAACCATGGTTCCTGGGGAAACCTGTTACCCAGAATGGAACGTCAAGATGAAAGTTACATAACATTAATAGCAATTCTGAAACTGCGCTTCCTTGGTTAATTATTATAGCCATAGGAAGACTAGAACACTTGGGTTAGCTGGCTGCTATGCTGTGTGATCACTGATGCCATTTTAGTTCCATCTGTAAATGCACCTCATACTCCTTTCCAGTTAATCAATAAGGGAACCCTGTCTTCACCAGCTATTGTATAATCTAATTGCCCTTTGGGATTTTTGAGACAGAGACTCAGACTGTAGTTCAAGCTCACCTGGATCTTGCTGTATAGCATCAGTCCTCCCTTGGCCTCCTGGGATGTTAGGATTACAGCCATGTTCTCTCTTTTTTTAATTGCTGATCAATTCCAAGGCATTTGGCCCTTGTACCTTCCTGTTCTGAATCAGGGTCTGCGTGCTCTATCTGTAAAGATGTAGATGCTTGAGGATGTGCCAGCCATGTATTTGTTAATTGTGGTTCGGCTCTGTCATGAGGGTGAAAGTGAACACACCTGATGTATTCCATGGCTTGGTTTATTAAGCCCATTGCATGGTCCTCGAGGAGCAGCCTGCCCTAACCCTTCTGTCACCCTCATTCGGGGCTACAGGACGTGCTGTCTTTACATTACACGTACAGCCATTCACCTGTCAGCCCAGTGCTAGAGTGGTAATTCTGGTAGCAAAAAATGTTATTTATTTAAGGTAGTAGTAATTATTTAAAATGTAGTAGACCCTCTGCCTAAGGTCTGTAAAACTGCTGGAGCTTTTCTTAGGACTAGAAAAGCTGTAGTAACAACTGGGGTTTCCACGGTGTTGCTGGGGTTTCCACGGTGTTGCTGGGGTTTGTTATTGGTGATGTCCCCCCATGACCAAGTGTTTATGCTGGTTCCAAGACTGCCCTCCTGAGGACGGTGGAAGGCAGGAAGTTAGGATGGACACCCCATTGCCCGCACAGGTTTGTTGTGTCGGTGCCAAACAAGCAGTAGTGGGTACTGAGGACTGGCTGCTTCATGAATATCAAGTTCTGCCCTTCAGACACTGGAAACCATAGAATTTAAGCCGAAAGCTTTGAGGTCTTAGCTTGCAGTGATGTCCCTGGAGGTAGGAGTCCCTTAGTTTGGTGCCGACTGGCCACCTCAGGTTCCCTGGCCCCAATAGAGCTAGAACCTGAAGGACATTGCCCACTGCGCTGGCTTCTGAATTGTGTAAGCGGCCTTCTGTTGAGTGCTGACACATACTAATAAGCACTTGTTGCCACCTTCTTAGTGGAGCCTGGTGAACACAGGCCTTAGAGAGTGGAAGTGGCCTCCCCGGGGGGAGTGACCATTTGACTGCTCAGTGGCCTCCCCTGGGGGGGGGAGTGACCATTTGACTGCTCAGTGCCTCCACCCAGCAGGGGCTGCTGCAGCCACATTATGGCCACACACTACAATACTTGTAGACCCCAGGTCAGCCCTGTGGACCAGTGGAATTTTCCACTGTCTTCTGGGAGTCTTGCCGTCCTTCATTTAAGCACATACAGGAAGATAATTGCAAAGCTGTTATTTCCCTGGTGTGTCCCACTAGGGTTGTGAATGTTTTGATATACAGTAGCTAGAAATGTGTTGTGACTTAATGAAGCCTGTATTTCTTGATTGTTATACCCCAAGGACCCTTCTGTGAAGATGTTTACCAGATTAAATAGGCAAGCTCCAGACGGCAATGATCCCTGGTCACAAGTCCTGGGAGATGGTGAGTGTTATCTTGTTAGAAAGGGAGGCTAGGGACAAGGCCAGCTTGTCCCCATTACAGCAGTTTACAGATGCGGGATTTTACTGTTAATGTTTTATGTAGATTTCTTGTCCTCCTAGGTCCCTGGAAGATGGGGACCCATGTCTTGCCCACTAGTGTCAACATTTAGTAGGTCTTAGGATTTGCCCTGAAGGATCACAGGAGCACCAGCTTCTATTACGACCTCCCCCTTCCTCACCTCTGCAGCCAGTGTCTGTCTTTCCTTATTCAGCTTCCTTGCCTTGCATGAGGCTCCCAGGCTGTGTTCTTCCTGTCTCCCCAGGCCCCACTGTTCAGTCCCTTTGCAGCCTAATCACAGAAAGATCCTCCCACTTGCCACCTTGGGTTTCCCACTGCCGAGATATTCCTCACCTGCTTCATTCCAGCTGGTCTATCTTTAGAACTTTAGTCTGTAGCCCAGTGTGGAGGCACAGGTCTTTAGTTCAAGCACTTGCAAGGCAAACGCAGGTGGAATTCTTGTGAGTTCGAGGCCGGCTAGATCTACAAAGGGAGTTCCAGGCCAGCCAAGGCTACACAGTGAATCCCTGTTTGGGGAAGGGGGGAGCAAGCCTTTTTTATTTTTCTTTCCTCAAATGAAAGCAGTGAGAGGGTGGTGATGCTGCTTGCTGGGGTTCCTGGTTTACTGGGGAGCCTAGCTTTACAAACCAATTAGATTCCCCCTACTATTTGAAGCTTAGGTGATGCCTTGGGTGTTGGGGCCATGATGCCTGTTGGTGTTTCAGTGAATTATTTGTTAAAAGCTCTGTCCCTCAGCCTGACTAGCCACATTTCACTGTTCAGTGGCCCAGCCCCTAGCTGTTGGGCAGCAGGTGGGAACTCCCATTATCTCTAGGAGTTCAGTCCTATTGGGTAAGTGTCAAGAGTGTCTCAGATCAGAGGTCACTGAATTGGAGAATTTGCTGTTCCTATTGATGAGTCGGGTGTCTTCCTGATCAGAGGGGCTAGACTACTGGCAATCATGGGCACAAAAGGAACAGCCTTTTTCTTAAGATTTATTTTATTTAAATTATGTGTATGAGGCATCAGATTTCCCTGGAGCTGGGGTTACAGGTTGTTGTGAGCTGCCCGTCATGAGTGCTATGAACTGAACTCAATTTCTCTGGAATAGCAATAAGCATTCTTCCTTTCTTTTTGGTTCTAGTTGGTTGGTTTTTTGTTTTGTTTTGTTTTTTGAGACAGTTTGTGTAGACTATACTGGTCTTGAATTCATAGAGATCCGCCTGCCTCTGCCTCCTGAGTGCTGGGATTAAAGGTGTGCACCACAGTCTTAATACCTAAACCATCTTCCCAACCCCAGGGAAAGATTCTTAAGCCAGCAGAGATCTTTACTATAGACATGTCTCAAGTGATACATGAGCTGCGAGATACACACCTGTGAGATGTTCATGTGTTAAAACTTTCTCTACATCTAGATTCAGAAAGCAGCAGAGCAGATACAAGCTTAGACGAAGAGGAACAGTTGTCTTGCACCTTGATGGTAAGAGGAGCTTCTAGTGACATTGGGCAGCATCAGATGTGGCTGCAGCTCCCAGAGAGTGTATGGCCTGTGGCAGCATCCCTCCTTTGTGATTGCCCCATGGCTCTGCTGCTGCCCTCAGCTCTGGGCACCCTTTTAGATCCCGACATCCAGGCCCCTCTTCCTCAAAGGCCAGCATAGACTAGTTCAGGAAGGTGTTTGCTATATGCCATCATCCTTGACTGGCCACTAGATGTTGCCAGTTTTGACCCAGTCTTGCCTTTGGGCAGTTCCAGTGTTTCCAGGTCAGCTGTGTGGTCAGCTGGGCAGTAGTGGCACATGCCTTTAATCCCAGTACTTGGGAAGAAGAGGCAGGTGGACCTCTGTGCGTTCAAGGCCAGCCTGGTGAACAAAGTGAATTCCAGGACAGCTAGGGCTGTTACACAGAGAAACCCTGAAGAAAGAAAGAAAGATAGATAGATAGATAGATAGATAGATAGATAGATAGATAGATAGATAGATAGATGATAGATAGGCAGACAAACACATAAATCTGTGTGGTCACAAGGTTACTGACCTAAAAACTTAGTAACCTTATGTATTGTTTCCTCTAGTGTCCCCAGAGTGGGAGTGACCTGCCTCCTTGTATCCTCTGATTCTCACCTACCTGGTTGGTGGAGGCGACAGTCCTCACAGATGTCAGAAAGGGAGATGATCCCTTCCGGTGTCAGGAGAGAGAGGAAGAGGCAGGTCTCTTCTCCGTCAGTAGTCGGGATGTTCTGATCATCGCCAGCCTCCCTACTTTCTAGTAATGCCATTATAGGCATCTTCAGGGTTATGTGCTCTTGGTCATTTTAGTTCCTCTGGATCCCAGATAAAATCCCTGCAATCACACACTGAGTCTGGGAGTTCAAAGAGGCCCTACCACTTTGTAACAGCAAATGTGGAAGAATGACCTGAAATAACTTCCTTTAGATATTCGAGCACTCATGAGCTTTCAGATGTTCCAGAATTCACAAGGCTGGAGGCACCTGGCATTCTGACTGAGGGTTCTGACTTCTGTCTGATCAGCCTACAGTACCTGGAAGCTCTTTGAAAAATGATTTGAGATGGAAGTACTTCACCCAGGTGGATATTCTGCTTCAAGATGAGGAGTATTTTAAGGTAATCTGTGTCTGTTGGTAAGACTCGACTAGACATTAAAGACAAATTGGGGTTCAGTAGTTAGGATTTCATGTGCTGTCCTCAGAGCCTATGGCGGGATCTCAGTAATTATTTCCACACTTTTCACGTGCTATCAGACTTTTTCTCTTCTTCATTGAATGCTCCAGGGACCTAGGCAGCATCAGGGAAACTCAGGGAGACATGCTCAGGGGCGGGGGGGGGGGGGGGGGTTGACTGGGATAGATCTGCTGTGGTGGGGCCACAGACTCCAAGAGCAACTCCAGTTCTTAGCTGCACAGGTGAGGAGAGCAACCCCCACCTTTCCTGGTGAGGTCTCCACTGCTGTCGCTGCACCTGGTCTGAGGTGGGTGAACAGGAGGCAGCAGGCAGACCACAGGCCTCTCTCCTAGCACGGGTGCCCTGCAATTCACTGCAGTGCTTCCCCAAAGCTTGTTCCTTACACAGCCCAAGACCACTGCCACGGGGTGATGCCACCGATAGTGGGCTGGGCCCTCCTTTCCCCATTAGTAATCAAGACCCGTCCACCTGATAAAGACTGTTACTCATTGGAGAGCCTCTTAAGGTGAATGACTATAGGCTGTGTCGGGCTGAGAGCTAAGGATAACTAGGACAGCTGGTGGTGGAGATTCCCCTGTAGAAGTCACCTCCTCTACCGGTTTCCCAGGTTCTGTCAGCATCTTTCACAAAATGAAGGACATCCTAACTCCCTAATGCCAGATGCCTAAGGAGTAATGTTAAATAAGAGGCAATTCCTCCCCCACTGACGCTTGCAAGTTCCCATGGAGTCGATGGTCTTACTGGGCTGGTAGTGAGCCGAAGCCTGTTTGGGGATCCCTCAGTCACTGTCCTAGGAATGCATTCTCCTGGCAGAGCAGGTGGCATCCTCCTGGTTCTTACGTGATCAGAGGAAAGGGCTAGAATTAGGCCCAAGTTTATCTGACCTCTGCCCACTATCTCCCTGGCCTCTGGACGTTCTGACTAATCCAAGTCATCTCAGGGTTTCCATTGCTGTGAAGAGACACGATGACCACAGCGCCTCTTCTAAAGGAAAGCATTTAATTAAGGTAGTAGCCCACAGTTTTAGTTTTGTCCATTATCATCCTGGCAGGGAACATGGTGGCGGGCAGGCAGTCATGGTGCTGTAGAGGGGCTATTACATGTGATATGCAGGCAACAGGAAGTAAAGTGTCTCACTGGGCGTGGCTTGAGCATATATGAACCCTCAAAGCCTGCCTCCACAGTGACACATGTCCTCCAACAAAGCCACGCTTCCTAGTAGTGTCACTCCTTTTGGGGGCCATTTTCTTATCAAAGCACCACACAAGTGTAATGTAAACAAGAGCCACCGATGGCTGGGTAGGGAGTAACTGCCAGAAAGGTGGCTGTGCCCTTGTGGGCAGAAATCTCAGATGTTTTGGGACTTTCTCTGTGGCTTGAAGACTATCAGCCACGGTCATGTTACAATTACAACGATGCTTGTTTTGAAGTGGGAATAACTGACATCATCCAAGGACAGTGTATTTGTACGAATAAGGTCTTAACACCTAATACTCTTATCATTGGCTCTGGTTTCAGAATGCAGAGAAGAGAAACGGAAAAGACGCGCTCGTGACTTTGCTTTCTTCCTCACGTGTCTCACCAGCCCCTGGTGAGTATGAGGGGGTAATTTTACATGAACTGTATCTTTCATCTTTCGACACTTGGGGCCCTTGGTGCTACCTATGTTGAGTGTTCGGTGTGGGTGTCTCAGCAGCACAAGCTGTTAGTGGTGTATGTCTCCGAGAACAATAAAGATAACCTCAGTGTAGTCTCACTGAAACCTGGGCTGGTTTTCCCTCTGTGGTCATGATACCAGATGCTACATAGATCTTTGCCCTCAGTTTGAACATTTTGAGTCTAGCAGCACCCAAGTAACCAGTGGCCGTCCATGTTGTGTGTCACAGGTAGCATTCATCATTGTTCCTTCACTGACCCTCCCTGGCACACATGTATGAACACAAGCAGTATTTATTTGACTCATGTTTGAAGCTACCCTAAATGCTTCACATGTACTTTCTAAGTACCAGGTGATTCTCCATGACTATAGCATAGCAAGTTTAGAATGTGCCAGAGACTTCTCATTGGCATGATATAATTTTACCAACTGAGCCACAATGTCCTTTGTAGCCATTTTTGTCCTTTTAGCAATAGACCCAGTTAGATGGCACCCACTTCATTTAGCAGCCCCCTGAGTTGCCATCACTGTTGTTTCTCATAAGATCACCTAGCTTGAGTGCTAGGTGGGTTTTTCCTGATTCTGTAGGTTTGATTTTACTTGTTAAAATCCATGTAGTTATGTAATACAGAAGTCAGAGCTGCACCGTGCACAGGAACATGTCTTCCCAGCCATCCTATAGAGGTCAGGAGTTTGGGGTTATTTATTGGTTTTTGTTCTGTGTACATGCATGCGTGTGTTCTGGTGCCACAGACCACAGAGGCCAGAAGAGCATATCACATTCCCCTGGAGCTAGATTTACAGGCATTTGTTTGTTGCCTATTGTGGGTGCTGGGAACTGAACTCTGGTGCTCTGGAAGAGCAGCAAATCCTCTTAAACACTGAGTTATCTCTTAGTCCCCTTTGTTGGCTTTTTTTTTTTTTTCTTTTAATTGAATGTGTTTAGGTTTGTAGAATTTTCCTTTCTGATTAATCTTGGAAGTTTTTATCTATGTGTGTATTGTATTGGCTTTTGGGCCAACAGCTATGTCTAAACAGGGTAAAGAGGAGCAGATTCTTGGAAAACTGGAGTGAAAAGTCAATTTGGTCAATTTTGGTTGCTAAAGTCTGCCAAGGAGAGTCTGTCCTTAACATTTCTGGCGTTTTATTTTGTTTGTGCTGTTTTAAACCATCGTGATTGTGATTGTCTCTTGTGCTCTCTGACCTTAGTATGGACGAATTAAGCCATGGTTTACCCTGACTTTGTATATTTTTCTCCCAGGATGCCAGGATAGTATCTCTGCAGAGAGCTCTGGTAGCCCTGAAATGTCAGCTTCATCTTCCAGAGACTGGAGTCCCTCAAACCCTTGTCAGGCTGACATGACTGTTATGCCTAGAAATGACAGCTTCTCCTTTCTAGGGACCAGCAGCAGCAGCTTAAGCAGTCAGCCTCTTGAGGTTGATGACATTTGCAATGTGACAGTCAGTGATTTGTACGAAGGCATGATGCATTCAATGAGTAGGCTTCTGAGCTTAAAGCCATCATGCATAATCTCCACCAAGACTTCCATCAACCAGAACTGGAACCCCAGGAGGAGGCTGTCACGAAAGAGTAGGGTACACATGAATAGGACATATGGCCACAGAAGCAAGCCCTTTCCAAGGAGCTCCAAGAAGGGGCCCCATTCAAAGCCACGGAAAGAGGTATTAAGTGACTGCAAGAACTTACTGCACACTGCTCCCCACAAGACAGACTTAAAACTGGAAAGGGGATCTTTTGAAGGAAGCAAACTCCAAGTCCATAAGTTCAGTCCATCTTGGAAGGAGCTTCAGGTGATGCCTCAGAAGTATTTAGACTTAAACAAAATGTACTACCATGAGCAAGAAAATAGAGTGAAGACATTACAGTGGCTAATTTCACCAGTTAAAATAGTTCCCAGACCAAGGATGTTTCCAAGTCGAGCAGAGAAGAGGTATAGGGAAATTGAAATGAAATTTGACAAACTTCATCAGGAATGTAGCCTGTCTTCTGGAAAACAGCTTGCCCTAGCCAGCCCCACAGAATCCTGGTCTGTAGATGTGCACAGAGGTATTCCTCGAAGCCCAGGCAGCCCCCAGGGCATAAAAACCCACAGGCTGAGTTCACCTTTCAACAGAGAAAAGAGGTCGAGTGAGATTTTTGAAGACCTGAGTGAAATGTCTGTCAAAGCCAGTAGCTGTCCCCCAAGGAGCCATTCTGCTCTATTACCATCGGGGGACAGCACCTCACAAAGCTTAGGCCATTCTCAACAAATGTCTAGCCTTTTTCTTCAAGGACATAATTCTGGACCAATTAGAAAGGCAGTATCACCCAGTACAGCTATTTCAGCACCATGGACAAGCCCCCTGAGCCGAGGGAGAAATCGCTATGATGAGATTAATGAAGAATTTGATAAGCTTTATCAGAAGTATTGCTTGATGTCACCTCGGCAGGTGAAGGTGACCTCTTGTGTTACAGTATCTCCAAAGAAAGCTGGTGCAGCTATTCCTAGTCAGACAGAGGACTTAAGAAAATTAAATTCAAACTCTGGATTCCAGAGTTCCCCAAAATTGTCAGCACTTGGCTGGAACATAAGAAGCCCACAGGACTCAATTCCAGTTGAGACTCAAATGTTTGCATGGACTGCTAGTGCTGTTATGAGAGACCCTCGCTTCCCAACAAAGAGGCGCAAGTTGTCATACCCCCTATTGTGTGCACGCCAGGCCAAGTCATGGGATTCTTCCGGAGCATCAGGCAAAGCAGTGCCCTAACCAGAAAAGCAGGCCAACCCTGTGTGGCCTGACTGCTGATAAGGTGTTCCTGTCCGCTGGGCCTGATGTCTGTTGTAATGAGTAGCTGTTGAGGTACAAGATGCTATGGCAGACACTTCTGTTTGGAACTCAGGGTATCACAGTAAACAGTGTATCACTTCGTCTCCCTCCCCACAGCCACTCAGCCCCTCCCCAGCCACCTCCCCAGCTCTAAATCGCCATCATCTTTTCATGTGGAATGTTAGTGGTGCCTTGGGCTTTCCCAGCCACGCTCAGCCATTATTGTGTCTCCTGACCATATTCATGGGGCTCTGCTTCCCAATTGCTGAGATTATTTTTGTTTTGTAATTTCTTTTCATGGGTAAAATACTTTGTGAACTAGATCTTCCTGGTTGAAGGCCACAGATGACACCCAGGGAGTAGGGCCAGATACGCAAAGGAACCCATCCTAGGTGCCATGCCAGCTGGGTCTCCAGCTACCTTCTGTGGCAGTGCCCTTGGCAGGCTGCACTCGCCAACAGTTTCCTTTGCTCTTGGCCTTGGGTTCTTTAACATGATGGAATTTCCCACCAGGGACTAGTACAGTCGATAGAAGTTAGGAATTCATCAGCTGGCCTTGAAACACTATTGGGATTATACTAAGAATTGTTTTTCATCAGTCATGATGGAAAAGTGGTTTTTGTTAGGTAAATCCAAAGTTTAGAAATCTTGCCTCTAGTTAGTCTCTGTCACTGTCACCCAGGCTGGCCATAGATGCACCACAAAACATCCAGCACCACAACTCTTTGTTCTGCCCTTGCTTTGTGCCTGGGACAACTGGTGCCGTGGAAAGTACCTGGTATTTTATAAATACATTTTCAGTGTCAGTCAGTCCTGTGGGCCTGTTTGTCTCAAATTTTGTTTGTTTGTTTTTTTTGGGGGGGGTTTCCCCATTTAGACATGCTTTCTAGAACATTCTTCACATTTTCTGTTTTGTTGAAACATTGCTATCTTATGAAACCTACATTTGAGCCCTGGGCACAGTGATCCTTGAAGTAAATAGGACTGTCGGGTCTTTAAAAGAGACAGCTAGCTAAAACCACCTGAGATTCACCTACAAGAAGTAATTCCAAGGTCTTGATGCTTTTAGAAGAGATTTGAAACAATTCTGAGGTGTTTCCAGTTGCTCTTGTAGCCATGCAGCATCCTTGAGGCCTCTGTTTCTACTGAGGTAGCTTCTGGTTGCCTGTAGCTGGTTTTGTTTGTTTTGTTTTGTTTGATTTTTTTGAGACAGGGTTTTTCTGGGTAGCTTTGTAGACCAGGCTAGCCTCGAACTCAGAGGTCCACCTACTTCTGCCTCCCCAGTGTTGAGTTTGAAGGCATGCACCACCCCTGCCCAGCTGCTGGTAGTTGTTTTTAACAAACAATTTCAAATATTCTATGAAATATTCCATGAATGGTGACAAAACCTATGTGCCAACCCTCCAGTGACAGTTGTTGGTACAGTGCTACCTTGTGAATGTTTCTTCAATGTAAACCTGAAAGCCCTGCTTTTCTCCTGTCCTTCCCTCAGCAAGTTTCCTGTGGTCGCCCTTTCTCAGGTCTCCAGCCAGGACGGCATCTGTACTGCCTTTTAGTCACCTCTGGCCGTCTTAACAGTTTACCATGGGCTGGGCAGTTTAAGCAGCCATGTTTGTGGTGGTGGACTGTTGTAAGGGTAAAAGGCTGAGATGAAGAAGGTGTATGCTTGGCTGGTTCTGCTCAGGCAGACTAGCTTGGGCTACAGAGTAAGGGCTTGTCTCCTTTAAAAAATGCCATTTCTATTGTGGACCCCATGTAACCTTCCTGCCCCCCCCCACACACACACATACCGCCCCACACCTCCAGACACTGTTAGGGCTTCATCTGGACTTGAAGGACTTAGGCCAGTGAACACTTACATCCTGATACCTCGCAGGAAGGAGGCTCATGATTCCCTCAGAATATTCTGGCAATTCTTTAGGGCTTAGGCACCCCCCAGGGTGGGCATGGCCTCTGCACTTCTAGACCCTTCTTTGGGCTTCATGAGAATTCTGGTCTAGTATCACCTAGTGGAAGGAGCTGGGCTGGGCTGGGCTGGCCAAAAGTGGAAGTCAGTTCAGAAGATTTGCTAATGGAATGTTTAACTCGTAACTTCTGGTTTTAACTCCCATAAATAATAGTATATATTTTGCAGTTTTGCTTCAAGGGGGTTCACATTTGACAGGAGTTTGCATATGCTGGTGCTGAGGTTTAAGTGTCTCCCAAAGGTTCGTATGTTGGAGGTGTGTCCCCAGGGTGGTAACACTGGTAGGCATGTGCATCTGTTGTGTGGCGGGTTTCTCTGCCTGAGTGGGAATTTTGCCTCCTGGAAAGATTTAAGGACTTTGTCCTAGAACTTTGTTGAGTTCTCAGGGTGGTTATAAAAGCTCAAGCTTGACTCCATTCAACTCTTTAGCTTTCTGCTACAAGTCACAGGATTATACAGTAATCATTCAGCCATCATTTTATAAGGTTAACCCATCAGAATTAAGGATTCTGATGGAGGACTAAACCAAGATATAAGATGTGTTGGAGTTGTTGCCTTTTGAATGAATTGCCTGTTTCTTGCTGTAGATTTCTTGCTGTAGCTTATTCCCATCTGTTAAAGTTTGGGACTTTTTTCCTACAGTCCAGCACTATTTGATCATTTATTGGGCACAATTTCCCCAATGCATCTGGATTATATTGATAGCATCCCCTACTTACTTGTGAAAACAGTCACACGGTCAAAAAAAAAAAAAAAACCCTGTTTCCCACAACCTGGTCTTTGTATCTTCCTCTAATGCAAATGTAGAGATCTGCCTTCCTGACGTTATCTTTATTGGCAGGCATTTGGTCAGTGTTAAGTGTCCAGGAAAAGTATTTCAAGGACACGGAATTACTACAGGCCTAAAACTGTTTATTCATAGTCATTTAGATAGAAAATAAGCATGCCCTGGTTTTACCTCACTTGCAGAGAAGAGAAGCAATAACCTAAACCTCACACTAAATGATTTTTAATTCTTTGAACTTACCTTTATCTCAGTTTATTAACCCAAGATTTTAGCTTAGAGATTTATTACTTAGAATAACAAGAAAGGTAATCAGCCATTTGCTCATCCTCAGAGAAGTAAACTTTCCTACAGACCTGCTGAAGATCTGCACCTTGTGGCCAGAGCAGCTAGAAGGTGCCAGGTTCCATTTCTTGTACAAATTAAGCTTAAATCCTCTTTTTCTACAACCTTAAGCAACAAGTGCTTAGACCTAAAAAGCTTCTTTTAAGCAGCTGACCTTAGCAAAAGTGCTGCTGCAGACCAAAAGCTGCACCTATTTATGCCTCTGCTGCTTACACAGGTTGCCTAGCTACTGAGGACACTCACCCCGCCCTTTGTAAAAATGGAGCTCCAGAGCCACTTGGAAGCAGCCCATGGAGAAAAAAGGTTTTACCTCATTCATGAAATCTGCTGATTAATAAAATTTTAGCTTAATACTTAGCCACATTTAAAGAACGCAGATAAGCACACGATATCTCCCATTTAAGACTCCGTTGTTGATTTATTCCCTAGGTGACCTCATCGTAGAGCCTTTACTAACCATTCTTACCTACTGCCATAAATCATAGCTGACAGTTACTACTCTGTGTGTGACTCTTACCTGCCTCCATGACCCTGAGAAACTCAAGCCTCACAAGGCACTGCCAAAAGAATTGCTGTTATAAATGTATATATTCCAGGACCCTCGCTGTAGCAAAAGAACTATTGTAGAGCAATAAAGAGATGGATAGAAAGAATGTGTTGTGAGCAGATTCTTGTCCTTAGCCCTTAGAGCCTAGTTCTTTCGCTTATTGTAGCATCTCCTTTGGACCCTGGAGGGGGGGGGATATTTAAGGCTGCTCCTTAAAAGCCTTCAACAGCTTTACATTTTTTGCAAGTGGTGTCTGCTCCTTCCCCATTTATTCTCACATCTGCTACCCGGCCCTCACCAAATCTCTTGTCTGCTCCTTGACTTTACAAAACTGAATTGAACATTTTTATATAGAGCCCAGCCCCAAGTATTTTGTGTTAGTGATATGAAACTGATGGGTGCTGTGTGGACTTCTCATCTCTGGGTAGATTGTTCCATTGTCTTGAATGTCTGGAAGGGTGCACATGGGCTGGGATCAATCCTTGCATGTACATAACCCTGTTTGTGACACACACGTAGAGGCCACATGCAGATAGTGGATGCCGTCTGCCTTCAACTTGGCAAATAGTCTTTGTAAATGACTCCTCAGTCCAGCAGTGTAAACAGCTACCCCTTCGTGCCCATTGGTGCGTTCTGCTGATGGTGACAAACTCTGTGGTTGGCCTACATCTTTGGGTTGGTTGGTTAGTTGGTTTTGGGAGGATTGTTTTGTTTTGAGATGCTAGGAATGGAACCCAAGCTTCATGCTTGCTTGATGAGCACTGACACAGACCCATACCCCAGCCTACTCTCTTACTTGAGGTTGAGCATGCTGCCCTAGGGACCCTGACTTCTCAAAGACTCTCAAGGCACTGACTATACTTTTCAGCTGTGTTGTAGTGGGTTTACTCTGAGTCCACATGAACCCATCTAATGTTATACAAATCATAAATAACTTCCTCTCTGATTTGTTAGTTTCCTGGTATTATGCATAATTACATTTTACCATAGCTAAGGAGCTTAAACCTTTTACTCTTCTGAATTCTATTACTTTTTAAAAGAAAATCCACTCAGAAACGGGACCTTTTTTTCAGTTCTGTTGGTCACCCTTTGGCCTATTAGTGTTCCACAAAGGGGTAGGGGTACAAGTCACAGATGTGTGTGGATATGTTGCAGGACACCCTTGCGAGGCCTCAGCAAGTGAGTTGCTTTGGGCTGGGTGTGTGTCTCCCTGGTCAGGGAGGGGGGAGCCCTGTGAAGTGCTCCCTTCAATACTTTTCCTGCCCTGGCCTCAGCCTAGACCACTCTGTTGCCAGCTCAAGACTGAGCAAGTCTGTCCTTGCTCTCTCTCCTCCTTGCTGGTTTCTAGACATGAAGAAGCTAATTCCCCTTTCTGTCCCCACCAAACTATTTTTTCCAGGCCCCACTGGACTCCTG